GAAACCTTGCCTGAATTCCTGGATAGCAGTTTCGCCTCTGTCCCTCTGCTTGGCAGGTACAACTTCACGCCCGAAGATCTGACGACCAACCGAAGGCAGCTGAAGTACTTCCTTGACAAGTTCGATGAGATCCCCTACACTGTGCAAAGCTCAGCTCCACGACGCGACACGTCAAGACCTCTGTCACGTTTGTCGCCGCCAGGTGCTCCAGTTCCTTGGGTCCAGGATCAACTACGGAGGGCGTGTCACGGACAAGAAGGACAAGGCCAAGCACACGCCGTCGGTCCACAGACGCAGTGACATGGTGTAGTGACGGTGTGTAGGGAAACGGGTTTCACATGGCCTGCAGCTCTGACGCCGGAGCTTTCAGACGGAGCCCGCCCCAGGTGTTGATTGACTGCCTCATCAAAATCTTTATCTGCGAGGATGTTGTCGTGAAAGGCCAGACATGACCCAAATCGTGGCATCACCTGGGGTCGAGAGTAGCCGAGTATGTCCGAGGCGAGAAGTACAAGTTCTCGCAGGGCGGCTTGTTCTACTGCCCCAACGCCTCTTCACAGGACACCGGCCTTGTGCCGGGTGAGCATCCGTGCAGAACGTCAGCCAAGAGCCAAAAGTGCTTGTAGAATCTAAATCAGGCGCTCGGGGTCACTCACTTCTGAAAAAAACAGCTACAGGATCATACAAGCATGTTCCATGTCCGTCTGCTGAGTGGAAAGCAAAATGGTTGTAGAAGTTCGAGAGGCAGAGTGGTGTGGCCAGCCGCATCGATATGTGAGGACGAGTTCCTGGCCTACTTGCGTGGCCTGCCATATATGACACCGCCCGAGGCAGGACAAAGAGCTGACGGGCTGACCTGAGTCTCCTTGACTGTCGTAGTTGCATTGTTCTGACGCCGTACTTGCCCCGACAGGTCTTCGGATTGCATGAAAACTGCGAGATCACCTGTGCAGAGTTCGGGACGTAGCGACAGAGTGATTTGAAGACAGCCCTCGATTGCTTTGAGCTTCTGATCCCTGAGGGCGGAGTCCATGGCCATGCTGGCAGATGTGATGGCACTGAATGCCGCGGGAGGCTCTGGCAGCCGGAGTCTCAGAGGCGGAAGTCCTTCACAATGAAAATACTGTACGATGTCGCGGTTTACGTCTTGCACCATGCAGCATGACACGTACACGCAGAGGTTCCGGTGGCGGCAAATCTGCAGATGAGGTCATGGACGCACCAGCCTCAGAGGTTGGCAAGGCAGCGAATCATGGCAATGCGAAGCCAAAATGCTGGCGTGGGCGGGCCGACATCACTTAAGGAGATGGCTGCTGAGTTGGAAAAGCAAACGCCGACTCCATGGGATTTGGACCTTTGGGAGGACGGCCTGCAGCCTTACGAGTGCTGTTGCTGGACATGCGGTCTATATGTCTATTTCGTGCTTCCTGTATTTTGTTTGCCTTCGAATTTGTTGTTTTCCCTGGGTTTTGTGTTTTGAACTACGAAAAACAAAAACAACCCTCAGAGCCCGGGCCACCCAAAAACCAAAAGCTGGATGCAACAAGAGGAGGCCACACATAGAACAAGAAACAACGACGACTCACAAGCCCGAGTATACAGACAGAACGCTTGATGACAACACGCTTCTGGAATCCACCTCAACCGGGATGACAAGTGGTTTCAGGATGAATGGATGACAAGAAAGCACAACGGCAGCTGCACACCCAGGTGACGAAGATATGCACAAAAATTCATATGATGCAGGTCCGCCCAATGTAATTGTAAGGACAGCCCGGCGAGTTTGTCATAAGTGTGCCAGCGCTGGAGAAGCTGTCCCGGGCTAGGATCGCTTCCCGACGAAGTACGAGGAGCTCGCCCCTTAATAACGCAGAGCATCTTGAGAGGCAACAACTTGCTTCAACTCCTTTGTCCTTTCGAAGGTCGCGAAACACAGTTGTAAAGCAAGAGGCTGCGAAGTACAACAAGCTACTTGCCCTGCTGTGAGCCCGGCCCGCTCTTGATGATTACGCCGTGCGTACATATATGTAATACTATCGCCGCCCATGGTCCCCTGCGCTCGCACTTGGCTTGGGCCAGGAAAGCACAGCTTCCTCTCTTCCGCCGAGCTGTGAAAGGGTTTGTAGCCGCCAGCTGAGCTGGATCTCAAAACTGAGGGCCGTGGAAACCTGCGAGCCGAAGCGAATGCCACTCCACCGGAAGGTCATGACTGACGAGCTGGAGGCGATTGGGAAGGGCTTCTTCATGAACTCCGTTCCAGAAGGCACGGCAGCACCCGCGTGACCTCAAGCACAACGAAGATTGGTAAAGCTCGCCACCTCTGCGGCATGTCTGGATACCTTGAGGCTGGGCTGGTATCGGTTTCCTGTCCCTGAAGCCGCTGACTTCTTGGTACAAGGACCTGCGTCAAGCTTCACAAAGTTTCACAAAGCTATCCTTCTGCGATGCTGTCGAATGTTGTTTGAAGAGAATCGGTTATGCTTGCCGAAACTACATAGCGCAGCCGAAGAGTGCAGCATTCTGCAGGATTTGAATGACCGAATTGACTTCTTCAATAAGTGGTATGATGGAGGCCACATGACTCGGTCGGTCCTTCGCTCCGAGCGGGGGAATGTGGATTCGAGTTCTGAGATGTCCAAAGACAACGCCAGGCCATCCTATTTCGTTCTGGCTCCCTGGTCTGTTTTTCCCACAGGCCACATGCTCACAGTCGCTGCTTGAAATCTGGGCTCACGATGCTGGCCCTACGAAAAGGCATTTCTCACTGCCGTGATGCAGAACTTCGCGGGGGCACCCGGCATGAACTCTATCGAACTCTGCGCACAGATGGCTTTCCAAGTGAAGGCCTCTCCCGGCTTAGCCCGGCTTGGAGTTGAAGTTCGGTACATTTCTTGCAAGAGGCAGTGCTCACAAGATGATGGGTGATGAGGGTTCTAGAGTTGCAGGGGTCGCTAGCTTGGGCTCTTTTGATGTGGCGTTGGTGGCAAGAAGTGTGTCGACATACTTGAGGCCCGTGCTCACAAGTACCCGATCGACCGCATCGACTTTGATATCGAGGCCGGAGGAAACAGCATCCAGGCATCCTGTAAGCAGGGTGCCAATGACTGTACAGGTGCCGAAATAACTTGCAAGAATATCCCAAGAAGAACCCTGGTCCCTCGGCCGTGGTGAGCCACAGGTTCGGGACGATGTCCGCCTCGACGGAAGTGATTTAACGGAGCATCCAGAGGCGCACTGGTGGGCTTTCAGTATTTATTTCGCTCTTCTACCTTCCCTTTCCCCTTCACTTCTTGAGATCTCTGGCCCAGGCTGGATCCTACATGTGCCCTCGCCATTCTTTGACGTGGAAACCGCGTGGTAGTCACGTGTAGTCGGGGAGGAAGCACCTTGGCCACGCCTTTGCGCGCCAGGTATGGACTCTTTTTAGAGGGCTGCCGCTGGGATGACAGCCTCCATGCCCTGGCTCCGTCGATGCCCAAGGTGCTTTTCACCCAGGCCTGGGGCATCCTGGGGCCAGGAAAATGAGTAAGAGTGCTTGGACTGCTGGGACCTAGGACGTGGGCAGGCAAAAACACGGGATCCTGCGTGCTATGGAGACTTGACAGCTCGCGATACCCTCCCTGCAGGTCCCGGTCGTTCATTTTATCCCCACCTTGGACTTCAAGGGCAAGCCCGGAGTGTATCCCTGCCCGGTCTACAAGGCCACGGTATACTCTGATGTCGTTCTTTGGCCATGGATCCCGCTGCCTGAACTCTGGTCGAAAGCGAGCTCGCTGCTTGTGCCCCGACAGGTGCTAAGCAGAAAGGGTACGTTGTCCACCACTGGCCACAGTACAAATTTTGTGCGGGACATGATCCTGCCCACTGTGGACAATCCAGATGTCTCGATCTCAGCCGCGTTATTATAATTTTGTTTTATGGCTTCCTGCTCTTCGTGTTTTGAGGTGTGGATCCGCGCCGGAGTTGCGGCCTTCTTGGCCCTGAAGTATTAGGACCTCTAGTTCAAGGAGCGACCATCAGGCAGAACCAGCATCCTCTCACTTCAACATGCGCATTCACAGCAACCCTGCATCCAGAGCCTTTCAACTTGCAGCTCTACTCTCGAATTTTCTCAGCTCTCCTGAAAGTGTGGCACGCTCAGCTACATGAGCAATGCCTTGCATGTGTACAGACGGCACGTCCTGCTGGCAACAGGAACACGAAATGCCGAGCCCAAGAAACTAGCCCACAACCAGCCTTCGTTCGGGGGCAGACTCGGCATTTCAACCGACGCCACCCCAGACTCCGTTCGGAGGGAGTGTGTTCCCATAGAGTTTCACCTGTTTGCACCGTTGCACCATCCAAGAATGGCTTCAAGCCATGCCTGGAGGAGCTCTGGAACCTGCTAGACCTACGATTAAACTTTGCACCGTCTGTTCCAGCTGCTCTTTCATCTAGCGTCTGGACGGCAAACCTGTTTGCACCGTCAAAGAATGGCTTCAAGCCACAGCTGGCTGAACCTGAGACTCATGCACAGCCACTACTCGCAGCCTCACATCGGGGCAGGGTCTTGGAGGTTCAGCCAGCTCAGTATAGCCTCAAAAGTGAGCCAAGTGTAAAAAGCGAGGGGCCTCTCCTGAGTTCCATAGGCGGGCAGGCCGCAGGATAGGGTTCCGTGTCGCTGCCGTGTACGGGCGACATGAGATGCATGGCAGCAGACACATAACAGGCAGGCGCGAGGGCAGGTAGACAGTCGGCTCCTCACACCGTGTGTCGAGAAGCGACGTAGTGCGCGGTAGCTTCTTCCATTGCTGATCATGATCACAGTGATGATGCTTCTGAGGTTGCCATGCTGATGCTGGTGCTGCTGATGACTTTGGCGATGCAGTGACTGCAATGATGGTATGAATGTCTCTTAACTGGTGCGCCCTGCTGCTGCTTCCCTCAATCCGCGGTGCCGTTGTTGTGGTGCAACAACACATGTAATGTGTGAAAGGACAAGCCCGGTGCATTCGATGCGCATGCCACAGCTGTTGCTGGCTTTGCGTCAGGCGGGGACGCAGGACCATGGGATCCTCCCGGAGCCACCGGCGGACCCTCAGACGATGTCAGCAGCAGCCGGCGACACCGGCATTGGTCATCGGCCGGCTAAGCCGATCGAAGAAGATGCGGCGAAAGCCTATCGCTTGAGCACATCGTTTCGGCGGAGGACTTTTACCGGCAGTGTCACTATGACTATGCGCTGCTCAGGGTCATCGGTGGCCCGACCCCGGCGGACCCTCCTCCGACAAGAGGGAGCTGGCGGCCGACTTTGCAGCCCAAGGTCGGCGGAGCGCCTCAGACAGGAGATTGAGTATATCGTTGGGTAATGGCGATCCGTCGGGCCCTTGGCAGCCAGGCGGGACCACTCCGACGACATGATGAGGTTCTCCGGCGGTCACGACGGTCCAGCTCACTGGCGGTGACGACCTGCGACGCTTTGGAGGACATGGAGCGTGGCGCTGGCCAGGTGACGGCCATGTCGGCAGCTTACTACGTCATCCCACCGCTGCCACCCAATGTCCGAGGCGGTCGCCTTCCGGAGCACATTGCTGGCGAGGCCTGGTGTGCCGGCTGGTGCGCGTGCCCGTGTGCCGGCGACAACACCAGAAGAACAGGGCGTTGACCTGCCGGCGCCGCCGGCCACCGTCGACGACACGGGCACCTTCTACATGTTTGCTGGTGCGGCGACCTGTCGTCGCCTTCGTCGCCGACGTGTGCCGTTCACCTTGTTATGTTTCAATATTCGGAGGAAGCTCTCGCGAGCCTGCCCTCATCTGACGGGACACGTCGGCCGTAGGAGCCGGAGTGTCTCACTAGAGTTTTGCATCAGCACTGTTGTTGGAAAAGACCGGCTTGAACCTGTGCATGCATGCTTGTCGTCGTCGTCGCTCCCCCCTCCTTGTTATTTTCCTGGTAATTTTATAGAGGCCGGTGGTTGACCCGGGATCGAGGGCCACCGAACACAGGAAGGAGCCTGCAAAAGGACGGCTCTTGAGGCGGCGCTGCCGGAGAACCGCTGACATAGACGAGAGCGTGCTGGCCAGCTAGATCGTCGCAGGTGCAGCGACAACTTCGCCCGACTGGCGATGTCCTTCGTCGAGATAGGGGCGAAGGAGCACTTCCCGACACCGACGGTCAGGGCGCTGATCATGGCGCACGAAGTGCCCACCCACCGTTTCGTCGATGACTACGTGGACATCATCCGACGCGTTGTGGAGCTGGTGGGACCGGAGCAGGCAGAGGCGCTCCGCGTCTCCAATTGGCCATGACCTCGTCAACGCATACCGGCAGTGGCCGGTGAAACTCCCGTCGAACTCGGGAACATTCCTGGCGGTGCCGGAGGGAGTCACGATGATTCACGATGTGGTTCCACGTGGCGATGTGCTTCGGCGCTGCGTCGTCCGTTTGGAATTTCAACCGCACAGCCGACACACTCCAGGCCCTGACAAGGTGCTGTTGTGGATTGTCTCCGGCCACTTACTTCCTCGACGACGTTAACGGATCGACGAGGAGCTGGCGGATGGCGCTTTGATGGCGTGGCGGGTTTCCTTGACCTGCTGGGCTTACAGACGAAACCGTCGTACGCCCAGAGGCCGGCCAAGGAGCACGTCATCCAGGGCATAGTGGTGTCGATCTGTCGCGACGGGGTGGTGCTGCAGCCCACCCCGCCGAGGATCCGGAAGATCCAGGCCACCATCGGCGACGTCCTGGCCAAGGACGACCTGGCGCCACACACGGCCAACGACTGGCGAGACGACTGAACGTGTCTGAGCTTCGGATGCGGCATCGACGTCCGGCACCAGATTGTCGCTGGGACTCCAGGCGGCGCTGACGTCACTCCAGTCGCTGTTGTCAGCCATCCACACCGGCGGCACTCATCTACGCGACGCTTTTTCCTAGCCCGGAAAGGTGTGCCACAACGGAGACGAAATGGCTGGGGTTACGTCGTCCGGATCGGTGCCCAGGTCTTCTACGACTGTGGCACGGCGGCCCCAGACTTCGCCGACCACCTTGCGACGAGAAAGGTTTCCATCTACGTGTTGGAGTTCCGTCGCATGCCATGCAAGGCCAACGTCTCCGACGCAATGTCACGTGGAGACCTCGAGATGGCACAACGAATGGGATGAAGGCAGTCAAGGACCCCTCCACTTCGCCGTCAACGAAGCTGCAGACGAACTCGTGAACTACGGCGACGGACTCGGCGCGATGCGCTCCCAAACCACTCAAAAAGAGAGTCTGTCCGTCGTACCGTTTTGGTTAGCAGCACGTCGGGTGTCGAGCTTGTCCCAGCCAGCCTGTTCTGTGCAGTGAATGTGTTGGTGGCCTATGTCTTGTTTTCAAAACCGTTGCTGAAGAATGTCTGGGCCAACGAAGCGACCCGTGCCAGCAGTCGAAACTCAGTGTGCATCGGCCAAGATTCTGGCGGTTCTTCGGCGGACCTGGTTCAGCTTCCGGGAAGGAGTCGAGGAGGGATACGGAGGGATGCGGCTGGCGGCCAGCACCGTGGCTTCATCAGCTAACATGCCGCTCCATCGCTAAGACATGAACATGCTATAGGCACGTCGGCGGGGAGCCGGCGAGCTCGATTTGGACATCACTGGGGACCGGGAGGAGGCCAACGCCGCGTCGTGCTGAAAAGTATCGCCAGGCTTGCCGCGCAGCATATGTGGCGCTCGCGCACACTTGACTGGTTGTGGTTTCCGCAAACGAAATCCGACGTTCCTGATTTGAGCCGCACCTGGATGCGGTGAAACTTGCTGCTGATCTAAGGTTGCCTTAAATGATAAACGCGCAAGGTGCGTCCTTACATTTGCAAGCCGCCTCCCTGCCCGAAGTTTGATGCGACCATTTTTTGTGTGGTGAGCAGATTACATCCCTGCGTGTCACTGCGTGGATCGCATGTATCCGGTGCACAGGGACAACGCCTGGCAAACCAACCCACCTTGTAACCACGGTCGCAGAACTGATGCCGAGGCCAGGACGCAAACAAATCCGCTCCTTAACCCGTGGAAGGGATGACTGTTAGACGGCATTGCCCCACGTGGTCGCATTCTGCATGGTTTGCAGCCGCTATGGAGCGGGATGTAGTAACAGTGCTTGTTTTGAGCACGGAGGCAGGTCTGATTTGGTTTTTGTCCTACGTTCGTCATGGGTCGCGTGTCCTGCGTCCCGCCAATAGTTCGAGACCGTCGCAACGCCACCCCGGCGCGGCTCGACGCCCACTCCTTGAAACTTTCGTTATGCCCACGTGTTCAAACGCACCGACCGCTCCATTCGCAAGCAACCCGCTGCCTTCAGGTGGGAGAGTAAAAGCAATGCCTCGCAAAGTATTGCGCAGAACAAGGTGTGCGAGGACTCGCCGTTTCGTCCACGAGTTTGCTGGCAGTTATGCGTTGGGCACTTTGTCATTGCATGTGTGAGGGTATCTGCACTTGTTGCACAGTAACGACATGGGGCTTCAGAGTTCCGACCGTGATGTGGGGCAATGTCCTTCAGTCCGCCCGTCAGCGACGTCGCGCCCGTCAGCGAAGTCGGTTTTGATTTGGTCTCAATCCAACCGTTCTTCGATTCTTGTCGTTCACAGCACCGCGCACGTCCCCAATTCACTTGCTGATCTTGTGTTCCCAATGTTTGGGTTGCTGTTGGACGCAAATCGATTGGGTTGGCGCCCGCGCCGCTCGCTTGCGCTGGAACAAGAAAGGTGGGGCCGGAGAAGCTCGCCAGGCTGCTTGCTGAAGTCGGCGGGCGCTTAGAAGCCCGACACACAGCATTTGTGCTGAGCGCCGTCAACTTTGCGGGCTGCTATGGCCTCAGGGTGGGTGATGTCGCTTCAGCGCACCACTGGAACAGGATCGTCTGCTGCAACGCATCCCACCTGTCCAAGATTCACAGGTGGCATGGCTGTGACTGCACTATGGTGCTACTCCAAGTGCCATCTACCTTCTTCGCGTTCCCTGCCGCGAGCCACAACGGTAGCATACGCCTCCTCGCATCTGCCGTTGGCTGCCTCTCAGCACTCCTCCCCTAACCCGCGTGGACAGCACGGCCCGGTTGGGCTTCTCGGATGGACACCTAGTCGGTCATGCAGGGTCAAGTCCCTTCAACTGCGGAGCATTTGTTCATTTCGTTGAGCGACGAAAGAGCCGGACCATTGCCTTCGGTCCTGGCAGCAACACACGCTGCGGCCCATTTAGCCGCACAAGGCTGGATGCAGTGCCATCACGGAATGAGGCCACGCATGGCCACGTCCGTTGTGCCGCACCCAACCTGACGAGCCTGCCAATTTCGCGCTGGTGGGGATGCAGCGGGGCGGGCCAAGCCCGCCCTAGCGCCGTACTCGCGACCGCTTGTTGCACGGCCACGCTCAGCATGATGTCAGCATGCCCTACCAGCGACGCGTCCAGCCCTCTCTCGCCGCCGTGCGCAAAGCCGGCGGCGGGGCTCGTTGCGCCCGGACTCGGACTCGGAGCAAGTCGCACAAGAAGCATTGGGCTTCGGTATTCCAACGGCCTCCGACCCCCGCACCCAGCACGCCGAGCTGCCGTGGCCCGCCTTGGCTGACTTCTGAGTAAACCGAGTGTTTGCGACTCTCGGGGACCGGAGCTAGTGTCAGCGCCTTCGTTGTTTGCCCTGTGAGGGTGAGGAAGGAAACAAGGGTTGCGTCGCAGCACATCGCACTCCCACGTGGCGCCGCTCCGTACACGACGAGGTCGAGCCTTCGACGATCGTCGGACGGCACTCCCAGTGACGTGGTGTGTGGCAGCCACTGTTGGGGAACAATTTGCCCGTCGGGCCTCACAACCTCGCGGGCCACTCGCACCTTGTAGCACGGCGGGCCAGCAACCCTGTTTGCGGGCATGGTGTTCGTAAGCGTCTACCCCCCGGCAGCGGCAGTACACGGGACGCAGAGGACAATCAGCGGCGGCGCGCAACCTGCTGCTGGCGGAAAGATGGGATAGCTGCCCCACGTGGCGCACCGCCCGCCCACCACAACCTACGGAAGCAGGCCCGGGGGACTGGCCGCACGGCTGGCAGCATCATGCGACGCGGACGCGCCCTCCTTACTGTCGCGAGCACGTCTTGTTGCCGGCGGCCTTGCAACCGGCTTCCAGGTCACTTTTGCGCTCGCAAGGCGGGCCACATGGAGGGGCTTGGCTGGCAGCAGTGCCCAGCGAGCCAGCGCTCACACGGCGCCGGGAATGCTGCTTGACCTTTATACTATGCCGTAGAAACTATGTTCTCAAAATGTTTGGGTGCCACGGGCCACGGTGGGCATTGGTTGGAAGGGCGGACTGTTACGTGCGTGTTGCGTACGCAAACTTCATGCGCAACCTACGTAGAATGCATGCACCATCAGCCACACATGTTTGGACCCACTTTATGCCTGGCCCTTGTGCAAGCGCCATGATGCAGTGCTCGCTTGCCTTGACACGCTGCTGTCCGCTTGCTATCCTTTGCTTGCCACTGCTCGGGCACAGCTTGCCCTGCGCCATAGGGGCTTGGGGCTTCGCAGTACGGCACGGCATGCACCGGCCGCTTATTGGATTTCTTGGGCCGACGTGCTGCCCGCCATAGCCTCTCGGGATCCTGCCTATGCGCGTGCGCTCGTCGACAGTCTTGCGGGGGTTTCGCCAGCTCCAGAAGTGCTACAGTCGCTCCCCCTCGCTCCTGCTTCCTTGACTGCGTCCGGGTTTGCCCCTCCTCCCTGGCCCGAGCTGTTGACGACTCCCGCGCCGCACCCTGACGATGAGGATGAAGAACCTCAGCTCGACACCACACGTGGATGGCAGCGTCCTGCATCCAGGGCCGTCGACGAGTTCTGCTGCCGCCCTGAAGTCTCACTTGCACCTGCACGCTTCCGAGTGTTGCTGTTGCGGCGCCTACGGTCCCCCTTGCCGCTCACTGCCGATTTCTTGCCGCTGCCGACGTCACCAGGACGAGTTCGGAGATCACCTCGCTGCATGCCCCCGTTCCGGCGTTTTACGCGCCAGAGGTGCCCCACTTGAGCGTGCTGCCGCTCGTGTTTGCCGTGAAGCTGGTGCTGCGGTTGCAACCAACGTCTCGGTGCGGGACCTCCATGTCGCACCCTGCCGTCAAGATGACCATCGCATCGATGTCATAGCAAACGGCTTGCCGCTCTCACTCGACACCACCCTCGTGTCGCCCTTGATTGCAGCCGGCGAGCTTCGGCGTGAGAGTAGGCGTACTGCCGGGGCCCGCCCTGCTCGCCTTCGCTGCTGCCCGTGCCTTCGCGACCCGCCTCCTTTCCCTGCCGCTTACCGGAGCAGCCAATGTCGATGGAGATCCTCCGCTCCTCAATGACCCTTTCGCCGAACCATCGGCTTCCCCTCCTCTCGCCAGCCGCATGCCCTGACATGCCTACGTAGTCTGGGCGACTTGCACAGGGACTGCGGAGACAGCAGAAAAGTGTGTGAGAAAGAAAAGTGTTCTGGGCGTGTCTCCCCTGCAGAAGTTCCAAGGCTGGCTGTTTGTGAGGATTGCTTCAGTCGTAGACCGTGTTTTTTTTCGGACGTTTCGAGCTACCCTAGCCTACCCAAACCTACGGCACCTTTGGCCCGAGTGTGGCTACCGCAGTGGCAGTGGGCTCGGCCCCGCTGCTTCGGCGAGGTCGAGCACACGGTGTAGCTCCGGGCTGGCTCGCGTGTGCGGGCGCGGGCCACGGGCTTCTTTGCTTGCGCCGTGCTGTTGACGGCCTGCAACGCTGCGGCCAGAGTCGCCCACCACTGTTTCGTCCAGGCGGAAGTGGCTGCAGCTCGCGGCGCCGGCGGGGCTCGTTGGGCCCGAATGCACACCAAGTCCTTGAGTAGCCGCTGCGCTGCTTCGTGCCAACACCCGCCTATCTCGGAGCCGAGCACGAGGAGGCA